ACTTCTGATGGATTTTCATATGCCGGTCAGTGGTTTTTGAATAACTGAAGAACGAAAAGCGATAGAGACTTCTGACTTTTGCGGTTAGATAGCCCAGACTTTAAATTATCTTTTTATAACTAAAATAAAGTACTTCTCAGTGACCGGTTTTCTACTATCTGCAACTATCTGTTTTTGTTGGGAATTTTGTCTTTAATTTTCTTCTGTCGTCCCCTTTTGGTTAAAATGTGCACCTCATGATCTAGAGAACTGTGAACGCTAGAAAAGTTCTGGAAAAGGTAGGATATTCTCCCCACATTGGAAACTGATCAATGCACATTCTTTGCTGTAACACCACTCGGCACCATAAGCTACACTAGTGGAAGAAAAATATTTTAGTATTTTAAATTTCATCATCATCAGTTGTCCTGCGCCAGTTGCTCTTAAGAAGAAAGATTATTGTCTGTTACTTCTGCTTCTCTGTTCTGTCTATTTCGTCCTCTGTTTTGTTATTCTCTCTCTATTTCAGTTACTTTAAAAAGACAATTAGAGAGAATAACAGAATAGAGAACGAAATAGAAATAACAGAGAATGATTTTTCTTCTTAAGAACAAATGGCGCAGGACAACTGATGCTGATGAAATTTAAAAAATTTTCAAGTCCAAAATATTTTTCTTCTACTTGTGTAGCTTATGGCGCCGAATGGTGTTCGAGAAAAGAATGTGAATGAGGTGCACATTTTAACCAAAAGTGGTCGATCGAAGAAAATAAAAAACAAAAGCACTGCTTTCATTGGGATTTTCTATTGTAGTTACTTTAGATGACATAATTAGAATCATAATGAAAGCGGTGCAGTGGAAATCTGCTGATTAAATTGATAACTTTTGGCAGTTATCGGCAGAGTCAGAGTCTGTCCACATCGCAACTTGTGTGTAGCACAATTGCAGTCTAGTTTTCTTCTTTCTTTCGTCCCAATTTTTGTGCGAAATGTGCACTTCGTGATCTATGTTGCGTAGAAAGCGTCTGAAATTTTTGTAAAAAGCACCACTATGCCCAGAAATTAAAAATCAATGAAAAAATGCACAACCGACGGAAAATGATTATTTTTCCATGTTTTTTTTATGTGAAAAAATATGAAGTGTAGCTAAAAGATAGAGCAAAGTCATGGGTACGAACGGCTAATTCAGTTTTCCTTATTTTAAAATTAACACAAGAAATCGATTTTGCATCATGGCTTTTTTTTTGACGAGTTTTGTTCAATTATCACACTGATTATTAGCATCAGACTGTATTTTTTCACTTTAGAAAGCTTCCATTTTCTTCGTCTTTCATATAATTCTGCGTAAGTTTTCCTGAGTGAAGTTTTGAAATTAAAGTTTAAGCATGGTTTTGTAGAGTATGTAGCGCCGCATCTTTTAAAAAAACACTAACCTTAGAGTCCTAAAGAAACACGAGAAAAATATATATTTTTGTTGGACCTTCACCATTTTCGGGTTTAGAAAGTACGAGTTTTTGAAGATCATTGCATTTCATTGATAAAAAATGTATCTGGAATAAATATCACAACATTTATATATCATTTTGTAGAGAATTTGACGGCGCATCGTTTGGAGAAACAATTAGGTCTAAGAATTGGAAAGCAAAAAAAATTATAAGTAAAATACTAAGTATACCATTCATTATGCGTGATCCGGTACATCTATTTAAATCGTTGGTGTAGTCTAAATACATTTTGAATTGCTGATGCTCAAATTTATTTTGAATGGATAGTTATTGCTGGTGATTTTTGCGATCTCTCTGGGCTCGCGAAAGCTTGCTCCAAAAAACCGCTTAATGGATGACATTATTCAGCCGTACAATCATTAGTCAAGTGTCATACAAAAGAGTTTTATGTGTTCGCAAAACGTGGAGAAATAGCGTTGTCTTCTTTTAGCCGAAAATAATAGACGATAATAACAGCTAAAAGAAGGATTGGTAAAAATTTTACCGAAAATAAGAAAAAACTGCCCGACAGTCTCCTGTTTTTCTCCTGGCTTCGAGAAACAAACCTGCTGATTTCGANAGTGTAGAGGAGCAATATGACCGATAGAAAAGAACGAAATTAAAGATGTTGAACTTATTTTTAGATAGAATTCAACGAAATTAAAAGATAAAAAGGTGTTTCTCGCATCTATTAAAAATGCTGTAAATCGATAAAGAAGTGTTTGGTTTAGATTATTAAGAGATATTCTATGGATAAGGCTGGTTTATCACTGCGGGTCAGTACATGCTAGATTCATACATCTCATATTAAAAAAATCGAATAAATTTTGACGGGAACATTGTGGAAAGCTGAAAATGTCCGAGTGTTTCGATGCCCTCTAATGTAGTTGAGGAATTTTATCATTCATACTAGACACGTGAGCATTGCGATCTAGTTCGACAAATGCATCATGTTCTCGAAGAAATGTCCGAGTAAAACATGATACATGGGTAGGTTGCCTAAATCTAGTTTTTCGAAATCAGCAGGTTTGTTTCTCGAAGCCAGGAGAAAAACAGGAGACTGTCGGGCAGTTTTTTCTTCGACAAACAAAAGAAAAATATCCAATAACATTGTTTTTTTGAAATAGTCTTTGATAAAACAGTATTATCATTTATTACAGACTGCAGTACGGACTGAGAAAGAAGATTTTGATTCGATGGATTTAGAAGTTCACTAGTCTCATCTTGCGATGAGAACATTCGATAAGCACATCGCGTGCTCTTTCAATGTACAATTATTTAGACTCTTGATCTAGAAATTCTATTTCTGAAAGTGATAATCTCAGTTTTGAAAAAAACAAAATCGATGCAGGAAAATAATTGAAAATCAGGAGAAAATCTTAAAAATCGGTTCCTGAAATCAGGAGAATTTTCATTAAGAGAAGAGTCTAAATCGGGAGTATCGTGGTCAAATTAGGAGATTTGGGCACTCTATGGTTCGATCCAATGGATCTAAAGATTAAGAAATTTTCTAAAAAACTATGTAAGAAGTTAAACTCGACCAGACCTTCTTCAGAGAGCGTCTCGCTCTGATTTATTCTGCCCATCTTAAAGTTCCAACTAATCAATCTATTATTAACCTAATACCGACAAAAACAAAAAATAAAATAAAATTTCATAACAACTATATTTATATACCAATAAACAAATCGAAGTCAATTGATAAAGCTATATTAGCAGCAGTTGCTAAAGACGGAAGAAGTTTCGGTGATTTTAATCGTTTAGGTATGAGACAATTGATTGCAACGGCAGTTGGAACGGGTTATAGAATCCTGAGTAGATTCCAGATTCGTCGAAAACTTAAATATTTGTATCAAGTGGAACGTCAGAAATTGAAAGATTTGTTAGAAAATGTCAATTATATTAGTTTAACTAGTGACATAGGGTCTAGCAAGTCAGGGAATTCGTACTTTAGTTTAACGAGTCATTTTCTCGATGACAGTTTTTGCACTAAACATAATGTGTTGATATTCAAAAAATTTTCTGGGACACATAGTGCAAGTCGTTATGCATCAAAAATTCTCAACGAATTATCGAAATTAAAGATTGAAACGACATCATTTTCCATCACAACTGACGATACAATAAGCGTTCAAAATATGTATAAAATATTGAAAAACATTAGTGGAATCATGACTGTATATTGTATTGCATATGGCTTACACCTAACTATTTGCAATGGATTACGATTATGGTTAAATAAAAAAGCAGACGACAACAGTGTTTTAAATATTATAGGAACATTTTTAAGAATCCAATGAGTGTCGAATAATAATGTATCTTTTAAGATAGAAGAACAGCACTTTGGACCTATATCTGACCAACGTTAAGTATATTAAACAGCAGGGTTTGAGACATCTTTGAGATGAACTAGACAGAATCTGGAAGCAAAGGGACGGTCTACAAATAGCGAAACTTTTTGTAAAGGAAAGATCATGGAAATTATTCTCTGTACTTCTATTCTAGAAATGAACCAGACGACGATTTATTAAATTATTCCAGTTCAAGCGAAGAATTTCTAGAGATTGCAAAAAAATACTGAGGCGAATCATCGTAAATCAGATTTAGAATCATTGCCGTCAACAAATAAAGAATCATCAGAAGAACTGAGTTTATCTGATGATGATGACAATATGAACAAAGACAATACTGATGACCTAGTCACATTAGATGATGGAAAGCGAATTATGAATTCAATCACAGTTGTTATGGAAAAGTGTAGAAAACTCGTCAATCATTTTGGAAGATCTACGAAAGAAAGTGGTTATTTAAAACAACATGTTGGGAAAACGAAGAAATGTCATAAATTAATAACTGATCGGAAAATCCGTTGGAACAGTTCGTATGCTATGCTACAACGTCTCAACACGTTATAATCATTCTTAGTGATGTAAACAAACAAAAACGCAAAGGAAAAAAACTAGAATCGATTTATTTGACTCCGTCTGAATAAATATTAATAAATGAAATTAAATGTGTTCTGGAACCATTCCAAATTGTCGTCAAAGCTTTAAGTGGTTCAAATTATCCAATATTAGCTAAAGCATATAATGCACTGAAAACATTATATATTTATCTTGAAATTGGCAACATGTTCGATTCATTTAATATAAGAGTTATGAAACAATTATTATTAGCTTATTTGACTCATTATTTTCCTCGAAATGATAATAATGAACAATATTATTTAATGAGAGCGGCAGCATACGTCGATCCTCCGGAGCATTTGTCGTTGGACAATGATGAGTTAGAAAAGGCTGAAGTATATATTAACTCATTGTATGATCGATTAAGATTAACGTTATATGACGAAACATCGTCGAACACTGCACAACAACAAAAGCCGGGGGCAGATGAGCTAAAAGATGAAGATGTGGATACTGAAAATAATCATTTGAGTACCTACGAACTGTTGTTGGGCCGTACTGGTATTCGAACACAAGTAGTTAACAGTGAAGAAAATATTTCACTTGAATTTGATCGGTATAAAAGAATGCTCAAAATGTTAACGAAACCAAGATACATTTTGGAAAGACAATACATGTCTGAAACATCTTCGTTCAATTGCGAAAGTACTATTAGCTATTCCTGGCACAAGTGTACCATCGGAAAGTTGTTTTAGCATTTCTGGTAAACTATTACATAATCGTGAGAAAACGAAATCAAATGTGGTGAAATATTCAATGTTTCTCAAAGATAAACTGTGAAGTGAAGCAGTTGTAAAAATCTAAACTTTTTGAATGTTTTTGATTCATGTTGACCTGAATAAACCTATTTATCGCAGTTAAAAAATAACCTACATATATTATCAAAAACTCTGCAGTCATCGGTAAATTACCGTCGCTAGCGATAAAAAGCTTTTTACCGAAGTTTACCGCAGTAAAACTTTGTGATTTTTTACCGGTTTGAAATTAACGCGGTAAAAATCTGAAGTTGTTACCGTAGCGTCGGTAACGGTAACACGTTTTTATCGTTACCGCTCATGCCTAGAGAAGACGTAAATAAGAACAAGATGGTGTGATAAACCAGAAGTAGGTGAAACAGTCGCATCGTGGCACAGTAGGCATTTTCCCATAGAGCCGGTACACGTCTGGTTTTCTACTTAAAAAATGATTATTTTTTTGCATGAGATTATTATATTAACAGAAGTAAAAAAGCCGAATTCGAAAAAGCTTTTTTTCAATAAAAAGGCCTTTTTGGAGAACTCTTGCGCTGAATTTTTGTCAAAAATGTTTTGTTTCTAAAATTAGCGGATTATCTTCCATTCGGTGCAGTTTTTCATGCTGATTCTAAATTTGTTATTATTTTTCAATAAAAGTGTCCCTGAGTTGAAGAAATAGGTTTTACCTGAAAACCAAGGCTTTTCGGACACTCTATAGCTCGACTTGGGTAGATGTGTGCATCTTTGCGCATGTCCAGGAATATTTTGGTATAACTTTAAGTGAGTTTCGATCTTAGCGAACTTTAGCGATAAAGAAATTGTTTTGAGTAATCTGTGGATTATAACCAAAACTTGTCCGTAATAAAAACGCTATATTATGCAATGCACATAACTTAATTGTTTCTGAAGATATTCTTCAAACTGGTAATAAACTTTATAATAAATTTATTTAATTTAAATTTGATAATAAACTTATTTAATTTTAACTATAAGGAAACTTATCAGTCTGCCCGCAAGGCACAGCACCAACTTTTATCGATACAAGTCAGCAAGGTCTCATACTTAAATAAAAACCTGAAGGTTTATAGGAAACAACATTCGGAGCGAAATAACTCGAGAAGGTTGTTTTTGATGTATCTCTTTACTACCATACCTATGTCTCGTGTGTGTACTTAATTTATCGCTTAAAATTACTAAAGACTTATTTATTATCAATCTGCATGCATTACTCTCTTTAAACAGGTTTCTAAGACCGTCTCACTTTAATTCATATCTTTTGTAGTGTTTACATCTTACGAGGGAAGTAAGGCGCGGATAATTCAAAGTTTCAGCAGTTCTTGTTTTTAACTTAAACTTACATCTCTGGAATCGCTATTTGACGCTGATCACGAATATGTCTTTCTTTTTTAGTTTAGACAAAGTTTTGACAGAGAAAAACACAAAATACTGGAAGGATCTAAAAATCCGCAAAAAAACCTGCTTATCGAAAAATTATGTTTTATTATTTACCATTCCATTTTTCATG